ATCCAACCTGTATAGTTTGTGTGAATAATTGTCATTAATGTGATATTAGAGGCAATATTTTCTTGCTGAGTGATTATCCATCTATAGCTAGCATAGTTATATAGCTCCTTAATATGGTTTATGTTCCAAAACTTAGGGCTGTTGTTCTTCAGATATACAGTGACAAATCTAAATTGCAGTGACAGTATACCCATAAACAGAGCTTCTGATTACTTCATAATCAATTGTTGGCATTAATTTCTTGTAGCTGCCATCTCTTCCCCATAAAATAGGAAAGTTATTCATCACATCTCCTGCTCTTCTAGTATGTCACCAAGTTTTTTGATTTAAAAATTTTAGCCTTTACTGAAATAAAGCATTTATTGCATTTCTGAAACTTAAATCGGCGAAATTCCATTCCCTTATTCTTAATGATTTGAAGTATAATTTTTCTTATTAAACTTTATTTAATCTCAGTTGTCTTAATCTACTGTATACATTTTGGAACCTTTTATAACCATCACCTTACATTACTTTGTTTATTTATACTATTGTATGTACTTTAATTATAAATTTTATTTTTATCATATTTAAAAGTACTTTAATAAACAAAAGCTTTTCTTCCCTACTCAAGATTTTCTCAATTTACAGAAGTGTTAGAGAATTAGAAAAGGAAATTAGCCAAAGACTGTAAAATTTAGATTCTCTAATTAAATATTAATATGTTTTGCAGCAGAATCACATAAATAGTTCAAAAATCTGAATCATGCTCAAAATGTGAATTGCCATTAGGAATGTTCTGAAGTAGCATCACAGTGCAGCCCAAAAAATTATGGTTTTTGCAGAAGGAACCTCCTGATTTTTCGTATTTCAAGGTTAGCAGCTATGGCTTTGCAGAGTTGTAAGCAAGGCTGGCAGCAATGGGATTTTTCAATGGCAGCTGTGCAATTTTTCTATTTATTATGGCAGCTAAAGATTTTTAATTTTCTCCTTTTGTGTTTAACCTTTTCACTTGGGCTAATGGAGACTAATTTTGTATGTATTGGAGCCACTTAGCTAACTATTCAATCAACAGGGAACAGAAAAACAAACCAATCTGCCATTTTCTGCTCTGTATTAAGTAGCAAAATAAAATGCCTTAACAAAATTAAAATTAAACAAAATTAAAAACAAGAATTTTTAAACCTTATTTGATGTAGTGAATGTGGGGAACATGTATGTCACAGTTCCCAGGAAAAGATTAATATCTGAAATTCAGTCTAAAATTATATCTTTTAAAGTAAAGTTTCACCAGGAACAGAAGTTAATGTGACCAGTAAAATGATTAAGAAGATGGTTAAGAACAACTATCTATTTCTTTGCTATAAACTTGTAGATGATGGTTGCAGCTTATATATATTATTTGTCCTTATTCAATCTTTGAATAACAGCAGATATCAAATGCATTGAATAAAATGAAAAATTCCATTTCAAATTATTTTCCTAAGCGGGTTACATTTGTAAAATCACAAATTAATGTAAATGGTCTTGCCAATGATTAGTTTTGGTGGCTTTGCTGAAATTGTCTGTAAACTCAGGAAGTGATTCTCATTGACCACTCCTTACATTGTGGGATGTTGTAACAGATTTAAATAATATTAAAATCTTGTAGTTTAAATAATTTAAATAGATGAACATTAAGGTATTTGTGAATGGCAATATTTGAAACCAGACTCGAGTGCCTCGTGCGACTCTCGCACGAAGAATGTAATTTATTTTTAAATGATAGAATATGTTTTCTCTTTTTGTTTGTATGTTGCCATTTTTTTTTTTTTTTTTGAGTGTTAAATAAAAGTTATTGCTGTGTTCCATCATTGGAGTTGCTTCATATCGCCAAAGAAGTATCACAGTCTTAATTATTTTGGAGGCACCGACCTAGATCGAATAATCGTGCATATTTTTATTTTATTAGTTCATCACTGAACATAATATATTAGTGATACCAGATTATTACTTCCTGTTAATAATGAATTGATTTATGTTATTAGTTCATCACTGAACGCAATATTAGCGATACCAGATTATTACTTCCTTTTAATATTGAATTGTCTTATTTTATTACCGTATTGGATATTATTTTTAATATTCATTTTCGTTGTCCAGACGGTAGATATATATATTGCTCTATGTTATTATTCTTATTTTAGTCACCATTAATGTGATAGAGAGAATGAACTTCATATAATTTAAATATTTCATTTTTGAGGTATACGTATTTAACAGAGTGCATTTAATTTCGTGATACCTGACTGCATTAATTAATTAAAGTAATTAATTTGAGCTGTTCTGAGGAAGTATAAAGAACACAGTGTTTGTTAATTTTAAACATAGAAACAATGTCTTACTTGGGAAGAGCTCGTAAGCAAGATTTGCAAAATCTCGCGGCTGAACTAGGAGTTCATGTGACTGCAGATTTGAAAATAGTCGATTTAAAACAGAAAATTGTTGAAAGTAGAGATTATGATGAGGTATTCGTCAAAGGAGTCTTAGACACAATAATAGAAGAATGGAAAGAGAAGGAGAAAAGAGAAGAATGGAAAGAGAGGGAGGAAAGGGAAAGAGAAGAGCGAAGAAGAAACGAACTGTATCAATTAGAGAGATTAAGACTTGAAGCAGAGACAAAGTCTCAAAATACCGGACAGATCTGGCCGAAAACGGATCTGCGTCACTCATGCAGAAATTCGATGACAAGAAAGGAGATATTTGCTTTTATTTGAAAGGCAAGCAGAATGGGCTAAAATTGATAAAGAAGAATTTGTATCTCATTTACTAGGACTACTTCCTTACGAAGTAACCCAGTTAATAGCTAGAGAAACCTCCGATAAGGCTAAAGACTATGAGCATGTGAAGAATTTATTGTTAAGACGGTTTTAAAAATAAGCCCGGAAAAGTTTAGGCAGAAATTTATGAAGCACCAAAGAGTACCGAATCTACATGGGTGGATTTCAATATGAAATAGAAAATTATTGCAAAGAATGGGTGACTGGTCTAGGAGTTAGGACTTTTGATCAGTTGCTAGATTCGATGGTGATTGACCAACTTAAGCGTAGAGTTCCTCCTGAAAGTTCGAGATCATTTTCTTGATGAATGAGTAGAGATGATTTCGTCTAAAAAATTATCTGAAAAAATTCATGCCTATGAAAACGTTTGCGTGGAAACTTTCAAAAAACGTCCTGTAGTGGATCGGCAGAAAGAAAGATACAATGCACTAACTCAAATCAGGTAAAGTGAGTTCAGATAATAAAAAATAAAACTGAAAAAAAAAATGTCATCAGGATTTAAGTCGCAAAGCTGGTTTCATAGACCTAGAAGTCCACGTCCAGATGATAAATATGAAAAACGAAAAACGCCACAGTGCATCAGTGTGGGTCCTATCAACATTAAGACCCCAATGTCCAAACTTAAGATAGTACTGAATCTCCTGCTAATCTTAGCAGAATTAGTGCAAAACCAGAGGATAAATTTCTATTACCTTATACTAGTATGGGTTACGTAAATGGTCATAAAATTCCTATATTAAGGGATCGGTGCAGGTGCTAGTATGATATAGTTTGTCGCAAATACATCACGCCGGAAATGCTGACAGGTGAAAATGTGTGGGTGTGCAACAGCCATTAGATTTGAATCCAACCTGTTACCATTGGCTGAGATCTCGAACTAAATTGCGATCTTGGGCGAGTAATAACTAAGGCTGCCATTATTAGAAATGAACTCGACAAAGGAAGGTATTTATTAGGCAATCGAACTTTTGCACTGTTGAATAAACAAGGAAAGGAACCTGATAGTTGTCGTCATCAGGTTAATGCTGTGTCTACTAGAGCTCAAAAGAAAAGAGAAATAGCCGAAGAGAAGATCTTGGAACCGATGAAGGAAGAAAATAAAGCATCCAGAGATGTATCTGAAGAAGAAGTTAAATCACCAGATTAAACGTGGAAGATGTTCACGAAAATTTGGAAAAACGATAAAGAAATTAATATTGAGAATCATTTTGCAATGCAGCGTTATCATCATCTTTCGGCTTTTGATTTAATATCAAAGCCGCTACTAATAGACGAAGAAAAAGAAAAACAATTGTCGAAAGCAAATGACAGTTGAATATCCGAAAGGCACCGATGAACTGAGGAAAGGCTTTGCTGTGAATTATAGCCGAGGAACTGGTCCACTATGGAAGAGATCTAGGCGCCGTCAAGAAAAAAAAGGAAGACTAAATCATTCTCCATTTTTTTCCTATTTAAATGTGGTGTAAAAGTATTTGTTGAAAACTTAAAATTTTGGTTTAAAGTTTAGAACTTATGGGAGAAATTACCTCTTCTTAAAATAATTCAGAATGCTGAGCTTATAAACCTTCGAATTTTACAGAACTTTTCCCTTTGGCAAAGTCTCTCCGTTGGGGGAGAGGTTGTTGTAACAGATTTAAAATAATATTAAAATCTTGTAGTTTAAATAATTTAAATAGATGAACATTAAGGTATTTGTGAATGGCATATTTGAAACCAGACTCGAGGCCTCGTGCGACTCTCGCACGAAGAATGTAATTTATTTTTAAATGATAGAATATGTTTTCTCTTTTTGGTTGTATGTCGCCATTTTTTTTTTTTTTTTTTTTTTTTTTTTTTGAGTGTTAAATAAAAGTTATTGCTGTGTTCCATCATTGGAGTTACTTCATATCGCCAAAGAAGTATCACAATATCAACTAAATTCTGTGTTAAATATAGAAGATTAATCTTTAGTATCCAGCCATAGAGATAGTGATAGAGATGTTGTTCTACTGCATGCACAATGGTTAATAGTTCTTTTGTTCATGATACAGAGGAATATTACTCTTTACATTTTTTGTGTATAATAGTAGCAAAACAAATAGAGAAAATTAGGAAGAAGTTTAAGTTAATTCTGAAAAAGTAGGTAAAAATCTTGAATGTGCTAATAGGGATGTTAAACAATATTATTGTTTTACAAAGATTTTTTTTTTTTTTTTTTTTCAGGCTGATGTGGCATATAAATTGGATTTTACTGAAAGTTTTGCCTTTGGTTCTCTTGTTTCTGCTGTAGATCCTGTAGCTACAATTGCAATTTTTCATGCATTAGATGTAGAACCTGTGTTAAATATGTTGGTTTTGGGTGAAAGTATCTTAAATGATGCCGTTTCTATTGTGCTGGCCACGTAAGGAGTATTTTTATTCTCATTATAAAAACTTATTTATATTTTAATTGTTGGACTTACGAAAATAAGAAACTGAAATTTGTCCTCATTTTTTAAATAATAATAAAAAATTTCATTTAACCAATGATTAAGGTTTATTTTATTTTTTATGAACTTTTATGAATAATCTTGCAAAATAAGAAGTTCATGGAAATAAATTTTTAATTTGCTCAAGAATTGCAAAATTAAAAAATGCATTTTTTAACATTTAGGTTTCTTTCACCTTATAAAATTCATGACAATTTTATTATTATCATCGTAGGAAATCTGTTCTGATAAAATAATTCTGTAAAGATTGAAATAAATTAAATACAAAACAAGATACCTTGTTTGATGAATCAGAACTTCTAACCTAGATTTCTTAACTAAGATATGAAAAATATTTTCTTAGTTAAGAAATAAACATGAGATTTTGTATAATCTTAATAGAAGCCTGTTTACTAAATCTAAAACTTTTTGTTGAGTGGTACTTTTTTTAATCAATATGTTTTTGAAATTGTTCAAATAAATGAAAGCCACTCATAATCATTATAAAGAACTCATTTTGATCCCACACTATACATGCATGTAATTTTACCTTATTTGGATGAAACCAGCCACTGGTATGATTTGTTCTAGATCATTTTGCTTGTATCATCCTTGATCTCTTATGTTCCAATTTATTATAAAATATTCACTTTTCAGTACTAATTATAAGTTGTTTTAGGAAATGTTTTAATATGTTTTTATATTTTAATAGAAAATTATGATATGCAATGAAAATTGTTTCTTATTAACCTATGTGGAGTCCAAATATCAAAGTAATTAATATAGCAGGTTTGGTGAAAATGAATCAACTATTTTCCATATACATATATTGTCGACTCTTCTCATTGAGTGACTTGTTTTGATTATTATTTGTTTCAACTGGTTTATCTGACCATGGAGCATTGTGCAGTGAGAAATGCTCAGCATGAAATTTTTGCAAACTACTTTTGATACATTCATTAAACACACAACTTCTGCTCTATCTGCACAAATCTTTCCTCCCTCCCTATTTCAGTTGTATTTTTACTTTTCTTGAAATAACCAAATGTACCAAAAATAATTATACCTAATATACCAAAAGTAATTATGGAAAATTCACCAATTTTAATAATTTTTAATGCTACCTGATATGACATCTGTAATGAAAATGTACAGTAAAACTGTATTGAATGTAGTTAAGAGCAATTAACTGTTACTAGAGTCATTTCATTTTGGGGGGGGGACTAGAATTTAGGCTGTCTTATTATTATTATATTTCTTTATTTTGTTGAATCCAGAGTGCTATAATTCAAAGTAAAATTTTTAATTTTAAACTATTAACTTTGAAATAAGTGATTTTAAAATGCTAATTATTCATGAACATACACTGATGGAAAACAATATCTCATCACCAAGAAGAAATTAGCATAGAGGAATGAAATGTAGGCAAAATATTTGTCTAGGTAACATTTATTTAATTAATGTTTCAAGGTTGCAAAATGTGAGGTGGTAGTACATTAATAACTGCATTCACCAGGATGTTGAATGCAAGCTATACAAACATTTTGTCATGCTGGTGGTGTATGTCATTTTGTGAGACTAAGTTCCATGCTTGTTGTGCTTATTCCTCCTCAGATCATAACTCCTGGCCCATAACAATATGTGTATGATATAGAGGGCATGGTTCCAAGCATTTATCAGTCATTCTAACCAACATACAATCTTAACTGGCATTAAGACAGAAATGACACTTCTGAGATCTTTACTCCACACTCCAGCGAGCTCTAGCTTTACATTACCGAAGTTGTAAATGCCAATGATTTGGAGTTGGTAGTATGTCTACTAAGGGCATCTGGCTCAGAGCAGTCCTTCAATTAATTGATTTGTAACTGTTTACTGTGTCACTGTGGTGCCAACAAAGCTCAAATGTCTGCTGCAGATGCATTGCAATGTGTCACAAACATTCGATGAATATCAGTCTTTTCTTTAAGTGGTGGCATGTGTGCTTTCAGATCTTGGCTTTCTTGAGACAGTTTCCCATTATTACTGCTGTCAACATTCATGCACAGAGGATGCATCCCAAGTTTTCTCCAATATCGGGAAAAGAAAATTTGCTTTGTTGTAGTCCTATTGCATATCTTCGTTCAAAACTCAGTAAGCTGCTGATACTGCCATCTTGATCTCCTGAAAGACATTCTTGACTCGTCTTGCTCACAACGTCCAGTCCAGAAGGTAAATAAAGTACATGAAGTTTACATCATATATTTAGAGCAAACATGATTTTTCATGTTTGTAGGGATACTGCTTGTGCCACACTTATTCATCCAATGGGAAATTTATATAGGTGCCATTTTTCAAGTGTGCAAACATGCCTTCCAATTTTTGTTTATCTAATACAAGTTTTTCTTGATGTTGGAATTTCATTTTTCATCAATTTATATTCGGTTACCTGGAAATTTCGTTGGCTTCTTTATGAAAATGCAAATGAAGCTCTACAGAAACATAAGAAAATTTCATTGAATCACATAAGCACCATTTTTTAAGACTTTTTGTCATCTCTCTGGCAGCTGCAATATTATTTTTTTAAAAAGTCATTAGGTTTATTCATAAAGAAATTACTGAAGTGCTGTTTGATAGTCTCCAAAAAAGTGAACTCCATGTTGTTTAGAGAATTTTAAAGTAATCCAAAAAGATTAAAATCCAAGGGAGTATGGTGAATATGGAGGTGACACAAACATCTCAGCCATACTCATTAAGTCTTTCATCAAATATTAGGCTGACCATTCTCATGATAGGTGACAAAACTTCAATAATTGGTCAGCTCTGGGTGCTGTACTTCATTTTCTGTTTTCAAAACTGCCATTTGGGACCAATATTTTTCCAAATTTCTTGTTTGATTTTGTTGCAGTAATTCATAATATATAATTCTTTTGTAGAATCACCACACACAAAATATTGTTTTTTTGGGGGATGCGGTCCTTCTCCCTCAAGATGTTACTAAAGCTGGTTTATTTGGCTCACCCCATGATCTTATAACATTATTGTATAGTATCCACTTCTGATCTCCAGTAATGAACCATTTTTTTAAAAAAGGAGCTTCTTTATTTTATTTCAGCAAAGAATCACATGTTAAAATAAGAGCAGGTTTATTTTGCTATGATAAAATATGGAGTACTCTTACCTAGTAATGGCTTACATACCCATTTTATACTGTACTTTTTGGAATAGTATGTCTGATAGTTTCTGAACTGCATTAACATGGATTTTCAGTTATAGCTTCTTAAAGAATAATCTCTTCTTTCTTTTAATAAGCATTGGTATTAGAGGATGATCGCACAGAATTACCATCTTCAAGGCTGAAATTTATGTACCTCTCGAACCATCTTCAAACTGTGTCAATGGAATGAGCACTTTGTCCATATATACAGTACAAAGTCCAAGATCCGGACGTCCTGTTACCATCTTCAAGGCTGAAATTTATGTACCTCTCGAACCATCTTCAAACTGTGTCAATGGAATGAGCACTTTGTCCATATATACAGTACAAAGTCCAAGATCCGGACGTCCTGTTACCATCTTCAAGGCTGAAATTTATGTACCTCTCGAAACATCTTCAAACTGTGTCAATGAAATGAGCACTTTGTCCATATATACAGTACAAAGTCCAAGATTCGGACGTCCTGTATCTGGAATGATCTAAGATCCAGACCTCAAAGCCAACAACAACTTTTTTTTTAAAAAAAATTTCTTTTTAATATGCTTTAATCATGCACATTTGATTTACTGTCTCACACATAATAAAACATATGCCGAGTTCCAATTTGTAATTTAACTTCAGCATTAAATAAAACAGCTCATTATTGAAGAAACGATCATTTTAGCATAAATTTTGTGTGATCGAGAATTTGGCTCTAATATGTATCTCCTTGGTATACATTTCAAACCAAAACATTCTACATAGATAGGTCGTTGATTTTACACCTACTAATATTTTATATCCCTCACACCAACCTGGCAAATCATTATTTATTATATTTTCCTTTCATCATGGCATGTTTATTAACACATGACAACTTGAGTAATGACTCATGTAGCGATGCCTAAACAATTTTTTTATGTTAGTAATTGAATAATAACAGTATGGTAACCTTTTGTGTTTGACATTATGCTTGGCGATGATTACAGATTTAAGTTAAATGTGCTAAGAAATGTTAACAAGGAAAAATTTAACAAAAATTTCTTTCCATATGCAAAAAATAAATTTTCTTAATGATACTTGTAGATCTGCAGAGACTGCATCAGGCGGTAAGATATCTAGCGCCGGCCCTCAATAAGCCTTAAGTATATGTGGGAATTTATTGATTCAGGATTCAGATAAGCCTTAGGCATGTGCAAGAAATAGTCATAAGTATAATAAATAACTAAATTAGTACAATTCAGACTTAATTCTCTCACAGCGCGATAGAAGCAAGATGAAATTTAACGGAACAGTTTGTCTTTAGTCGCCAATCTCATGATACATGGCCAAATATGTATAGTGAATGATAGCTAAATTTTATGATGACAGTCACAATAAAGATTTTCGGATATCGCAAACCGAAGGTGAAATTTTCCAATTAAAGGATTTTGTAAAGTAATGTGGAGAAGCGGTAATAAATGATGATAATATAGAAAAAGATTTTCATTGTGATGACAATGCTCCTCAATCATCAATCAATTAATGGATGGCAAAATCTGTAGTATGGTTCTAGATCAATAAAATACCACTACCGATAGTCAAGAAAGTGAGAAGATTTACTGAAAGCAAAAAAATTTTGATTGACAAGTTAATCGGAATTCTCGACACAGCAAATTACAAGACTTCAACTATGTAACTGAACAAGAAATTATGTATGTCTAGAGAATTAAAGAGAAACTGTTAGCACAAAAACAAAGCAACTTAAACAACTTTTATTGAAAGAAACGTTTAATAAACAAATAAGTATTAAGCTTTTTTTTTTTTGTAAATTTTGATACCCCTTTTTTGTAATTTTGAAGCATTTATGATTTTGATCATAAATGCATCATTATTTCATAAATCACAATTTCATATTTTTAATTTTATAATTTCTACATGCCATCTTACTACTTGTAGATTTAAACTAATGATTTAATATCCGGAAAAATCCGGCATCAGGGAAGTCCCAATGAGTCCGGATCTCAGACTTTGTACTGTACTATAAATTTTATACTTATTGAGACTAAAATTTTTTCCTGTTTTAAAATGAAATAGCATAATATGATGAAAATGTTCCCCTTCCTTAACACTGTACTGAAACAAAAATTATGCCTCAACACATGCTAGAATCATGCATCATGAGCAGAAAATATCATATTTACACATCATCAATAAAGGTCACTTCTTATCAGTAGTAACAAAATAATTAGAAGAAAATATTCTTCAATTTGAAAAACTGCAGAACTTTCAAATAGCCTCAAACTTGGATTGAATATAATATGATACTGTGTTTTTGAAGTTATCATGATGCTAATTATATAAGATAGCATCAGTATTTGAAATGCAGTTTGTTTCTCATAGCTTTGGTGCATAGTGCAGCATTTTAATATATTTTTCCTAGCCTATTTCATTCAAATAATTGTTCATCTGGAAGTATATTTCAGTTCTTATGTTATTTTCACAGTCCACCAAAAAAATCTTTGCAAAATGGGTTTTTGTTGTATCATTTTATCTATCTCAAGTAGATTTTTTTAATGCATAAATATTTTAATGTTTTGAGAATGCATGATATTAAAGTTCTGTGTGATTTTTAAAGCTGAGTAGGTTTCTAAATTTTTAGATATATGAATTTATTTATTTTGTGATATGTATTTATTTATTAAAAGTGTATTATCTATGTGTGCTTAAGCTGAGTAGGTTTCTAAATTTTTAGACATATTAATTTGTTTTTGTGATGTATATGTATTTATTAATAGTACTCTAAATAGTATATTCCCCTCCCTTTCCAGAACAATACTTCAAGCTGCTTCTCCTGCCATGGCAAGCATGTCTGCTGGTGAGGCTGTTTTACATGGAATTGGACGATTTTTCTTAATGTTTTTTGCATCAGCAGCTATTGGTGTTGTGTTTGCATTGACAGCTGCTCTCATATCCTTTCAAATATAAAATACTGCAATGAGTTATCTTTATTTATTAAGAATAACTTTTAATTTTGTGTAATGTATTTAGATTTAAATCTTGTTCCTTTGGTTCATTATTTTAAAATTAAAAATTGTCATTGAAGATTTTTACAGTACTACATAGCTGCCAACACTTCTGGTTTTACCAGAAGATTCCCAGTTTTTCATAACGTCTCTCAGTCTCTTTGTAAATCACCAAATCTTTCACTTTTCTAATTTTAGCCTTTAACAGGCAAAATGCTTCCCAACAATAAATGAAATTTATATTAGGCAAATTCCATTTCCACCTCTGATGATTTTTAGAATAATTTTTCATTAAATTTTTCTTATTGCATTAAATTTATTTTGTGTTAGTGTACTGTAGACATTTGTAAATTTTTGACAATGAAATATATTTCTAGCATCAGCTGATCAATTAATTTTTTAAAAATTTCTGATGAGTATCATTAATGTTCACATTCAAAATTGCATTAGATAGATTTCTAGTTTCTACTTCTATATTAACTCCATCAAATAAGAAGACAAGCCATTTCCATCAAACTATTTCCGAGTTCTTATCCTAATATTTTTTTGACCGAAGTTAAAATTACGTTTCCATCATGCATCTACTGTCATAAACAGGTTGAAAACTGGAACATTCAGAATTTTTGGGGCAGGGGAATACCATACACTTGGAAATAAATTATTGCTTTTGTTTCATTTCATGGAAAATATGTTAAATGCATGATTCAGAAAGGTGTAAAAATTAATAGAGACAAGCAAACATTGTTTCGAGAACTTAACATGCTAAAAGAGTAATTTAAAATATGTATATGTTTGCTTTAATTGATCTGAAATTAGCATTGAAATAGATAAATAAATAAAGGGGGCAGGGAGACATTCACACTTAGAGAAAAAAGAATTATGCTTTAGAAGAATCCAGGACAGTTTCTAAGCTAATTGTAGCGCTTGCAGAAAAGGGAATCATGGTTATTATTATTGTCACTGTATCAGTAGGTACTATCTAATACCCTAGTATCACAAATTATTTAAGTTAGTTATTAAATCTTTTAAATATAAAGTTATATTAAATAGAAGGTATTTTGATATATTTTGATGAACTAATTAATTTTCATTTTTAAAATGTATATGCCAGGTGTTTTTCAGTCTATATTATCATTTCATTATGGTAGATACTGATAACAAGCAAAAGAATACTTGCTGCTTACAGCTTTGATATTTGATAGTATTACGTCTCGGATCCCACATTAATTGCAGTTCATTGATTCATATTCCATATAAAATATGAAAGCCTTATGAAAACATCCTGCATCTTATTAGAATGAACTTATCTAACATTTGACTTTTCTACTATATGAGGAATTATAGCATTCACTTTGCATGCTTTCATAGTATAAGTGATTAGGTTGTCCAGCTGGCAATCTGAAGATCAGTCATTTGACTAGTGAACAGTCTAGTGACATTACTGTTAACTTTCCATTTTTTTAATCCAAAATATGTATAAGGGTATTTACAGTGGTAAACGAACTAAGTTCCCCCCCCCCAGTGGCTGGACACTTTATTAGCTAAGCATTTCTCAGAAACCTATCAGCTATTTATCCGTCTCATCGCTGAGAATGCTGCTTGGGGGAGGGATTGGAAATTGAATTATATCTGTAAAAATGGGAAAATTCCATCCCAGTTTGATGGAGAACAGATCTGAAGATTTCCCACCTGTCTTTCCAAACCTTTCAAGAGGACTTTCAATTCTATAGCATTTTAAGTACCCCATTCCAAAAAGATAACTTAAAAACTTCTTCAGAATTTGAAACCATGCCCAAGGTTATTGCACTGGCCTCCTGTATCCCCATGCCAACAAGCTGGCTGAAAATAAAATGTGATGTGTAAAATAAATGTGTGTGTCTCATAATTCACAACTATCTGGATTTCGGTGTTGGGTCCCATGCCTCTTCCCAGGCGTACTTTAAGAAGGGAAGAGTTAAGGAATTATTGCATTTCTTAGTCTGTGTTTTCCTGATGTAAGTGATTAACACATCCAGTGAGCATTTGAATGATTTGGGATTCAAATCTCAATCTTGGGCATATTGGACTTCTTGTGTTTCTTAGTCTGAAATGCGTAATGGTCTGTACAACTTGTATTTTTCGTATGTTATGAGGCTGAAGGTGGTTAAATGTGTGGATGCACTGACTGGCCTATTTTAAATATGAGGTTTAGTTTTATTGCATCAGACTTTTTCCAATAAGATCATCATAACTCTTTGAAGGGTGGTGGTTACCTACAGTAACCACCCTTTCTATTGAACATCTTACTCACTCGTGGGAGTGGTTTTCAAGACTGACCGTTTCTGAACTTTGTAGCTAGCTCACTAAATGGCAATCAAGAAACATGAGCCAATGAAGATACATAAGCCAGTAGTTGATGCAGCAATTCGTCTTTAAGAAAATAAGTGTCAGCCATCGAAGACATCACGACAATGTGCACTCTGCAGCACCAAGAAAAAGCCTGTAAGAACAGTGTGGGAGTGTAGCACATGCAAAGTTGCACTGTGCTTGAAAAAGAAAAACTGTTTCCATGAGTACTAGAGAGACTGATTTGTAGGGATGTGTTCGGTGGTCACTGACCCTAACCACCAGAAGTGGTAATTTTTTTTACGTGTCTTGAACAAGATATGTTTAAATGTCGCAAATAATTTCATTGTAACATCTGATATAGAAAATAAAACAAGAGTTTTGCTGAAAAAGTTAATTGCATTTTCCTGCCCCTCAAAGTGTTAAAGAACTAACACCAAGCACTGGGAAATTTAAAGATTATCACAAATGTATTCATCTACAAACATGTGAAGAGAAAAACAATGTGAAAAGGCAAGAAAGTGCCAAAGAATATGACAGCAATTCATAATAATTATTATTATGTTGCTTTAAGTATATACAATTATAAATATCTGATATATGTAAATATAACTGAAGATTATATTTTATATGATGCATGTTATTTAAAAAAAATCACTGCAGTGCATGAGAAGTTTTTATTTTAGAATCTTACCTGAATAAGAAATAAATTTTCGATCATATTTAATTTTGCACTGAGTACAATGAATCCTCCAAATGGCAGGGGTTTTTAGATCTGCTCATTAAGAGCTGTTTTTAAATACCATTTATCAGATAGATTTGTGTGACTACTTAATATACTGTTTATTTATGTAATTTCTCATTCATTAGTATCGCATATAGATTGATCTCTTTGATCAAAATGTCTGTTGTAACTGATCGCTTATAGTTCCTATTTCTATAATTATTACGTAGTTTCTATTAAAAGGTATATGATCTGATACTTCCAATTCTTGGAAAATAAGAGTTAATGTAAAGCTTTGATATTCTTGAATATATTGTACTGGTTGAAACATTTTGAGACTGGATGGAAAGCAGCAATAACATTTAAAGTGGCAGAAATCAAACTTGAGGATAAATCTTTAGAAAAAGGTAGAGGAAGTGTGAAGAAATGGTAAGAATACATAGAATAAGCCTAAAAAAATAGCCTTGAAGGATATTAATGGAGAAAAACAAAACTGAAGGGGAGAGAGAGTGAGAAGTGGAGGTGGCAGGTGTGCATTTAAATATTAGTCACTCGCGTTGTTGATTTTTCCGATAATAATCCTATGTGCTATATCTGACTTCGAATCTAAAATTTTCTGAAGAACACAAAAACCTTGTCTAAAACTTAAAGGTTTATTTAACTGGAACTTCAAAACTGATGAAAACTTAACATCATAAACGAAAACTTAACATCTTGGGCGGAAAAACATTCAAAGAGCTTTAAAGTAACAGCTATGCCGGCACGGTGAAGAACACTTTCCTTTAAAAGACAGAATCCATCTAGCCCTTTCGGCATATATCTCCATTCGCTGAATTCAGACATCCGCTCCTACGTGTTTTGGACTTAAACGGCCAGGCTGGAACTGGAATAGGACTGGATCAGGACCGGAACATGACTGGAACAAGACGGGAACCGGAACAGGACTGGATCCGCAACAAGACAGGAACCGGAATCTCTCATCCCCTGGCTTCTCCTCGGGCAGGTCTATTCTGACTCGAACTAAAAGGAACTGCGGTGCCACTAAGGAAAGCACCTCCTTTTATTGCCGGCGGTTGCCGTTACTACAGGCGACTTATGCAAATATTTAACATCCTTCCACCTAAGGAAAAAAAAGAAAAAAAAAAAAAGTGAACTTTCACATCAAAGTAAAACAATGCCAAAGAGCCTTAATATGCCAGTCTGTCCGGCGGAGTTACAGTTCTACCAGATCGTGTTACAGGCCTGATAGATTTATCATCTATGTTGAGTTTATGTTCAGACAAAGAATCTTGTTTTTCATTCTGCAGCTTCACAGGTACATCATTAGTTCCATTATCACTGTACACAGTTGTGGGTTTACCTCTTCGTGACACGAACCGATGAAAAGCCTGAAGAAACACTTCTGTAGATAGAGAAGTCAGCAACTCCAAATGGACCGCTCTATAAACGGCGCATGTAAAAACACAAATCCATGCCTTTTCTTTGTTTCTCAACAATAAAGGACCACAAAGGTCTATACCCGTTACTTGAAATACTGCTGAATCATTTACTCGCTCTATTGGCGGTGGGGCTGATATGTGGTCAACAGGTGCAGCAGAATATCTCTTGCAAGTAAGTAATGCATTTACTCAAAACAGAACGCACCGTTCTTCTGCCAGATAACAACCAAAACCTTTCCCTTAAGGTATTCAGTATATATTGTACACCTGCATGTCCTTTCTTTTTATGTTCTTCCATAATTAAATTCCTAACTAATGGATGTTCTCCTGGTAATATTATAGGTGTTCTAAACTTCTAACGTGTCATCTCTTCGAAACGCACCAGTTTTAATTCTTAGAATTCCCGCATCATAAAATGGACTAAGAGTTCGTAAGCGTGCGTCTTCTATATCCTGA